GCGTGCGTAGTGGCGAAATAGGACAAAATTGGACCTACCTTTTTGCGCATAAATTTTGTCAAAAGTGTGTGCAAAAAAATAGTGTAGTTTGTATAGGTTCCCAAAGATTAAATATAAATTAGAGAACAGAAAAAGATGGATTCTTTTTCTGTTCTCTACAGATATCATTGCAACTTACGTTATGGATTATGTGTTAGACTCAGTCATTCCTTTACTATCCTTTCAAATTCCATTTATTAAAAAATATGTTGATGATATAGTTTTGGCTATACCCAATGACAAGGTAGATGAACTATTAGACACTTTTAATAGTTATGACCCCTACATCCAGTTTACTATAGAGAGGGAAGATGGTAATTGTTCCGTCCCCTTTATCGACATAAGGATGATTAGGGAAAATAACAACATTAAAATAGATTGGTATCAAAAACCGACACATTCTGGTAGATACCTTAACTACCACTCTTACCATAATAACTCTACCAAAGTCTACTTAATCGAACAGATGAAAAATAGAGTAATTAAACTATCAGATCCTTCATTTCATACAAAAAACCTACAAATCCTTCAGAAACTTTTTATTTCAAACTCTTATCCAACACCATTAGTAAATAAGATTTTGTTTAACACTATCCATAACGAAGATACTTCACCATCCATCGTGACTAACAATGCTGATCCTGATGTCTTAAGTGGGAACCCAGTCTCGGATACTCCTATCAATAAATATTTTTCATTACCCTATTTCAGAGATATCACTCCGGGGTTAACAAGGATTCTAAAAAGTTTTGAAAATAGCTTTGGGAATAATAATAATAACATTAAACTTAATGTGGCTTGTAGATCAGCCCTAACAATTAATAATCTTTATTCGAAGATAAAGATAAGACTCCCATAGATACGCTTAGTAATATTGTCTACAACATTCCTTGCCTCTCTTGCAGCAATTCCTACATCGGCCAAACATCTCAATTATTGAAATCACGTATTACACTACACAAAAGTGATTCTCGACTTCACCCTGACCGCTGTGCATTAGCCAAACATGTCCATTCCACTGGTCATCACATGGACTATACGAACACTACAATTCTCCACCGTGAGAACAATAAATCTAAAAGAGAGTTCATTGAAATGTCTTATATTTTCCTTAACGATTTTTCCATCAATGTTAAGAGTGACATTAAGAATCTAAGCGATATATACCACTTCTTACTTAAATCAGATACCAAGAACAATACAACATCACAGATAACTAACTTGACTGATATATCTATTAACAACTAACCTACTTTAATAATAATTTTCATTAACTAAAAAAGATAACATTCCCTTGCTTTTCTTAGATACATCTCAATAAGATATTATTATAATAATACATGAACAATATACTAATTAAAAAAGAATTTCAATTAAGAAAATTCTAAACTAATATCTCCCCAGACTGGGATCTAACTTCATCGGTTTTACCAATGAACCTTAACGACATAAATATTCAAAAAAACTACTTGTAATTGTCAGCGCTTGCTTTCTATGAAAACAGAACCTCACATTCAAACTTTATAACAATCAAAAATTTAGTTATTGCCGACAATTCAAAGAATTACTTCCTTTAAATGTAGTTACATTGGGTTTTTCGATTAACCTTGGGTAAACCTTTGCGTTTTAAGTTCAAAGCTATCATACATTTCCAACGTTAACAAAAATAACTTTTTTGCACATAGTAACAAAAAAACACCACTATGTTGTTACTAGCTAAAGTTTTTTAACATCATAACTCGACATTTCTAAAATTTACGGTAAGGTAAATGTTTTTTATTAGATAATATATGGTAGCTAATTATAATTTATTCTCTTTCAGCCCTGAAGAAGCCAAATTAATTCTCTTTGGCGAAAACGTTAGGCGAAACAATTGATACACATTAGAGTTTTTCTTGCAGATTTCCCCAATATTTAAGAGTTTACTATATATGTATGTATATATATATATATATTATATATATATATATATATATATATATATATTTATATTATATATATACATATATATACATATATATATATATATATATATATATATATATATATATATATATATACATATATATTCATAATTACTAGTTTTAAAGACAAAGAACATTTATTATCTATTATTTAAATAGATCAGATAAATGGTACATAGCCATCACCATATCGTTTATCCGGAAGTACACGAGTCTTTGCACTTCGATATAGTTTCATATGCATCCGCGTATGAGTCATTGGCTGAACGATTATTCAAGAACCGTGAACAGTGTCAGTGATTATGCAGAATAGTGAATAATAAATTTTGCTTTTACTTTCTTTAACGATGAAAAACAACAAAATGACAATGTTGATGGTTACGAGGTTGCTGCAGGAGAAATTTAAGAAGTCGAATCAATTATTAACACCGACATTGGACACAGTCATATTTATCTTCCGAAAAAATATTTATATAAGTGGTTGGGTTGATTTAAAATCTTTATTAGAAATAAATGCTAAAAGAGCTTTTAGCAGGAAATCTTGAGTAGTAAACATTCAAAAAGTGGTTTTAGAACTACATAACTAGTAGAAATTTCGAAGTTGCTATCCACCAACGCCCTGGTAGACATTGTAATTATAATTTAATTGCAGTAAGTAAGAAATCAGAATCCAACCAGGGTGGACGCTGCGTTTAATAGTTAGTATCAACTTAGAAACCAACCAGTTTGGATGCCTACATTTTTAGTTTAGAGTAAAAACTCTTACGTATTTTATATAGTTATTGTAGGTCTTGACTTATAGTTTAAAAGATACACGTTTCGCAAACGCTTATTATTAATTAAATTTATTAAAACTAAAGAAAACATTTTTAGTTCAAGCCCTAGTTAGTAAATTTAAAACTGTAAGAGTGCTTATACTGTAAACTTTACTTATTACTTTAAAACTGTAATAGTGGTTTGTGCTTATATGTATACCTTAATTTAGTTACAAAGTAACTAGATAGTAACAAAGTTAGTCATTAAATTACATATTTGTTAATGCTTGTATTCTGTTATTTCGTCAATAGTGGGTGGTCCTTCGAATTGTAATTTATTACATTGCTGATTACGCTCTAAATGATAGTATGATCGCCATCTTAATTAATTATTAATCTTCCTACATTTTTTATGGTCAACTTCGAGCCAAATTTTAAACCAATCTTCTACGAACTAGAATCCCATTCTTTAAATCACATCTAACGTATATAAAAACATTTTAGTAAATTTTTCAATGTTATTGTCTTAACTTTTTATAGCGTAGATTTTTGAAGACTTACTAAATAATAGACATTAAAGTAACAAGAAGAATGCCTACATTGCGAACTTGCATCTAGAAAGAAAAAATAATTATCTTTTAACGGTCTGCTTTAGAAGGTCATAGGACTAATTTTAAGCAAGATAGGGTTTTTTACAGTTGTCTACGTTTAGCGATTCTGGCTATTTACAACGAAATGTAAAAAATGCGTACGAAAGCTGCGCTCTACATCTTAAACAGCCATTTTAATTTCCGTGTGACACTGTGATCGAAAGCTATGGAATTTTCATCGCTGAGTTTATACAACTTTTATTTAAAAAATTGATTTCGCACGCGTAACACATTTAAAGTCGCCGGTCGCTTTAAGCGTTGTTTGTGAGAGAACGGTTCATTTTACAGAAAAAATGATGATAAATATTTTAATTACTATTAAACTGGGAATAAGCCACAATTAAAGATAAATACGTTTATTGACGTTTCAATTTCCACCTCGGAAATCGTTCTCAAAATACAAACACTAAATTAAACAAATTCTGTTTTTTGTTACATAGTGAAAAATTCTTCTAATAATTTAATTTTATCTGACTCATTTATATTGACAATTCAGACATACATTATGCATTTTAAAGTAGACGACTTTAAAATGATATTGCCAATATTGTTGAGTTGCGCTCCTGGGACGACTTTACTTATAAGATAGTTCATTCGATTACATGAAATCAATTTTAACTTGAGAATATCCGTCAGAAAAAAATCATAACATGTAATTCGTCTTTAAAAAGACAAACACATGACATGATGACAGTAAAATTCTCCTGTTAGTGATTCCATAGTAAATTATGAGGGAAAAACCAGGAAAAAAACCTGGTAAAAAAACTAAAAGAAACGGATGGTAAAAAAAGAAAAATCAAAGAAGCGGCTCTAATTATGCTAAATGAGGCCAATTGTGTCGCAAATTCCTCGGCAGAATGTAGTAGGATCTGGTTACCAATATTGAAAGAGGAAGTTATTAATAAGAAAATACCAGTATTAGTAAGTCAGTAACATATAGAGGATACATCATTTATGTTTTTTTAAATAACGTAACATATAAAATCAGAATTTTGATGTTTGTTGAAGGTAAACTAAATTCACGAACAAATACTTACAATGTCGGGATAGTATTATGAGGTTTTTTTCCTGGTTTTTCCCTCATAATTTACTATGGAATCACTAACAGGAGAATTTTACTGTCATCATGTCATGTGTTTGTCTTTTTAAAGACGAATTACATGTTATGATTTTTTTCTGACGGATATTCTCAAGTTAAAGTTGATTTCATGTAATCGAATGAACTATCTTATAAGTAAAGTCGTCCCAGGAGCGCAACTCAACAATATTGGCAATATCATTTTAAAGTCGTCTACTTTAAAATGCATAATGTATGTCTGAATTGTCAATATAAATGAGTCAGATAAAATTAAATTATTAGAAGAATTTTTCACTATGTAACAAAAAACAAAATTTGTTTAATTTACTGTTTGTATTTTGAGAACGATTTCCGAAGTGGAAATTGAAACGTTAATAAACGTATTTTATCTTTAATTGTGGCTTATTCCCAGTTTAATAGTAATTAATTTACAATGCCACAAGAAAATAGCTTCAGAACGATAAATATTTTTATTCAACATTTAAACTAATGTGGTAACAAAGATAAAATATTATTATATAATATTGTTAAAGTAATGGTAAAACAGAACTAAGATAAGTGAAAAGATTCAAACAAAATTATTGTAAAACAATATAGTAAAAAAAATATGATTAAACATGTTAAATATATGTTCAAATCATCGGGAAGCGACGCATTGAATCTTCGATAATGTATGCCAAATATTCAGGATTCTTATCCAGAGCATTAATCAAATCTGATTTATTTAGGTGAAAGAGTTCACATGCCGTTATGGCAATTACGGTGTTAGTTCTGATCTAAAAAAAAATAAAATTTAAATTTAAATACGTTTACTGCAACAAATAGGAACCAGAATAGCACAATCGTTGCACTTTGCAAATGTGTCGCCTTTGTTTAAGGTTATCACAACTATATTAAAACGTAAATATAACTTTTGTTGTGTGTCAAAAAATAATTTAATCAGAAGAAATATAAAACATTTTTATTTACGAATATTCCTCATTTCATATCTTCTTCTTCGGATTCCTTCTCCTAGCGGAGGTTGGAAATCATCATCGCTATTTTAACTTTGTTGGCCGCATTTCTGAACAATTCTAATGAGCTGCAGCCGAACCACTCTCTCAAATTTCTCAGCCAGGACATTTTGCGTCGTCCTGGGTTTCTCTTCCCTTGTATCTTCCCTTGCATAATCAACCTCAGTAATACGTACTTCTCACCCCTCATTAAATGTCCCAGATATTGAATCTTTCTAATTTTAATAGTTTTTATGACTTCACATTCTTTCTTCATTCTTTGTAACACCTCTATATTAGTTACTTTTTCAATCCACGATATTTTATGCATTCTCCTGTAGCACCACATCTCAAAGGAGTTTAATTTTTTGATTTCAGACTGCTTTATTGTCCACGCTTCCATGCCATATAGTAAAGTAGAGAAGACGTAACAACGTAGCATTCTTGTGCGAATCTCTAGATTAAGGTTACGGTTGCAAAGTAATTTCTTCAATTTTATGAACGTGTTTCTTGCCATTTCTATTCTAGATCTGATCTCCTTTACTTGATCTCCATCTTCGGTTAGCCACGTTCCTAAATATTTATATGTTTTTACACTTTCTATCGCTGTATTATTGATGATCAGGTTATTTACATTTTGTGGTTTTTTTGAGAATATCATTGATTTCGTTTTCTTGAGATTCATTTGCAGTCCGTAACTTTCACATGCATTGTATACATGTTGTATTATGTACTGTAGATCTTCCATGTCACTTGCAAATATGACAGTATCGTCGGCATATCTAATATTATTAATGCTATTTCCGTTGACATAAATACCTTCCACGATATCCAATAAAGCCTCTTGAAAAATCACTTCACTGTAGACGTTGAATAAGAGTGGTGAAAGGATACACCCTTGTCGAACTCCTCTAAGTATACTTACTTCCTCTGTCAGTTCTCCTTCGACTCTTACTCTTGCTTTCTGGTTTTGATACAGATTCGATATAATTTGTAGATCTCTACTATCAATGTTTTTAGTCTTAAGAATACTTAAAAGCTTCTCATGTTGAACTCTATCAAAAGCTTTCTTGAAATCTATAAAGCAAGCATATATGTCCTGATTCATATCCAGGCATCGTTGTGTCAGAACATGGACTCCAAATAATGCTTCTCTAGTTCCTAGACCCTTTCTGAAACCCATCTGTGAATCACTTATTTCTTGTTCTAATTTCATGTGGATTCTGTTATGTATGATTTTAAGGAAGGTTTTCAATGTGTGGCTCATTAACGCAATTGTTCGATAGTCATTGCAATCTTTAGCATTTGTGATTTTTGGAATCGTCACAAAAGTTGAGAGAAGCCACTCTTTGGGTATGTGTCCCGTCTTGTATATGGAGTTAAAAAGGTCTACCAAGACATCAATATTATCTTCATTAATTATCTTCAATAGTTCAATTGGTATTTCATCGGGTCCTGGAGCTTTTCTGCCTTTTGTGTGTTTTATAGCATACATAACTTCCTCTTTCATTATTTCTGGTCCCGTGGTTTCTCCGTTAACTTCTAATCATTGTTCTACTTTTTGATCATAAAATAGTTGTTCAATGTATTCTTTCCATCTACGTAGTTTGTCTTGCGTTTCAGTTATAGTGGTACCATCTGCATTTTTTAATATCCCGATTGGTTTGTTACGATTTCCTGAAATCATTTCTTTAACCTTCTTATGGGTGTTGAAAGTGTCATACCTTGCCTCACATTCCTCGATTTCTTGACATTTAATGGACATCCATGTTTCCTTAGCTTGTATTATTTTCTGTTTTATTTGTTTATTAATTTCTTGATATTTAATTTTATCTTTGTTTTTATGTGTTCTTCTTTCGTCCATCTTTTCGAGAATTTCTTGTGTCATCCATTCTTGTTTGGCAGCTTTTATAAATGTTAAAGTTTTCCGTCCCACAGTCTCGATTGCGTTCTTTATATTCTTCCACTTTGTGTCAATATCTGTAGTGTTCTTATTTTGTTGTTTTATTTCTTGGATACTCTGATTTATTTTGTTTTGAGTTTCTTGGTATGTATTTGGTTCTCTTAACTTATCAATGCATATTTGTGGTCTAGATCTTTTCATTAATGGTTTTCTCAATCTTACATTCATATTTGCTACTACTGGGTTGTGGTCCGAGTTTACATCTGCTCCAGGGTAAGTCTTTACTACTGTAATAGAGTTCTTGTACCTGTTCCTTATCAAGATGTAATCTATCTGATTTCTTATGATTCTATCTTTGCTGTCTCCAGGAGCTTTCCACGTGTAGAGCCGGCGATTTGGTAATTTAAACATTGTATTCATAACTACTAGTTCTTCTATTTGGCACATCTGAATTAGTCTTTCACCACGCTCATTTCGCTCTCCCAATCCATACATTCCAACACAACTATCCACACTTCCTCTGACCACTTTGGCATTAAAGTCACCCATTAGTATCAGAACTTCACGTTTTTTCACGTCATTTCATATACAAGTCATTAAAATATAGTGTAGTTCTTAATGGTTGACAGTACAGTCTCATTACGAACGAGCCCCAAACAACAAAATGTTCGGATAAATTAAAATTTATTCTTATATCTTCACAACGTTGCTTATTGAAATAAAGAACGAGATCAACAATATATTGAAGTCTATAATTAATAATGAAATATTGAAATGGCTTGCTTTCTATCAACTTTGAATTAAGGTGGCAACTAAATGTTTGGAATCATCTTGAGAATAATATTACATCTTGTTACTTAAATCAATAAATGAAAAAATAATTTATTCAAATCGTTAAAAAATCATCCCGATGACAAAAATTTTCAGAACAGGTACAAAATAAATAAAAAATAATGCAGCAAAATGTATTCATATATATTCAGGGATTCTACAGTATTCACTGCCTTCCCTAGCTCAACTGTTTCCATCTCTCTCTGTTGTTCCATTCTTTATCGTTTAGGCCTCTCTTACTCAAGGCGTCGTCTACTTCGTTCCTTCGGGATCTTCGGGGTCGTCCTCTTTTCCTGCTTCCTATGGGGCTCCATTCGGTTATTATCTTTATCCATCTGCTGTCGCTAGTTCTTCTCACATGTACATACCACTTTAGTTTTTTTTTGCTGTATATATGTTAGTATGTCTGTTTCTATTGATGTTCGTTGCTTTATTTCGTCATTACTTCTCGTATCCATTCTTATCACTTTGCAGCATCTTCGCAGGCATTCCATCTCTGCTGCTACTATCTTACTGCTGTTTTTCTTATTTATAACCCAATTTTCAGCCCCATATGTCATAATACTTTGCACTAATATTTTATAAATCTGTGTTTTTGTCTTCATATTTATGTGTCTATTCCAACATACTGAGTTAAGTTGTCAGATTGCTGTTCTTGTTTGTCCTAATCTTTGTGTAATTTCTTCCTCTGTTGTTGCCTTTTTCGTGATTATAAACCTCAAGTATTTGAATTTATCCTTTCCTTTGATTGTTACGTTGTCATCAATCTGTAGATCTTCTATGTCTTCTTTACTTGTAGATAGGTACTCTGTTTTCGCGAGGTTAATATCTAGACTAGCCTTGGTATATTCTTCTTGTAGTTTTTTCATCATGTAGCTGAGGTCGTCTTGGTCTTGTGCAATCACTACTTGATCGTCTGCAAATCTTAACGTATATAGGTATTCGTTCTGTACCGGTACTCCCATGCCTTTGCATCTTCTGTTCCATGTAGTCAAGGCTTTCTCTAAGTATATTTTGAATAGGGCTGCGATGTAGAACAACAATGCAGGAGCCCTTTTGTTGTGATGAAGTCTCCTATGATTCTTGTTTCCATTTTAATGGACACTTTATTTTCTTTATACAGAGCTTTTGTAGCTTCTATGAGTTCCGTCGGGTTTCCGTCTTCTTCGGATTTGCAGCACATCGAGGAAGGAGACGAAGAAATAAGCAGCCCGACTCTTAAAGAAGTCAAACAAGCAATACAGGCGCAAAGAAACAACAAAGCGCCGGGATTTGACGATGTCCCTTCCGAACTGTATAAATTAGGTGGCGAACATCTAACAACGCAGGTGCACGCGCTCATATCTAAGGTATGGAGGGAAGAAAAAATTCCTAGCGATTGGAAAAATGGGATTATCTGCCCAATCTACAAAAAAGGGGACAAACTTAAATGCGAAAATTACCGCGGCATAACCCTCCTATGTTCGGCCAACAAAATTTTTACATCCATCCTGAATAGGCGACTTCAACCACTATGTGAAAATATTATCGGCGAATACCAGACCGGTTTTCGACAAGGCAGGTCGACAATAGATCAGCTTTTTACAGTAAAGCAAATCCTTAATAAAGCTTGGGAACACGATATTAATGTTCACAATATATTTGTCGACTTCAAACAGGCTTATGACTCCATAAATAGAAGCCGGTTATATAACATCATGGAAAGCTTCAATATTCCCTCGAAATATATCCGACTAGTAAAAGCAACGACGGACTCCACAATAGCAACTGTACGCATACAGTACGAATTAACTGACAGCTTCGAAATAGTTCAAGGGCTGAAACAAGGTGATGGACTAGCTCCAACACTGTTTAATCTGGTCCTTGAATATGTCATCAGAAAGCTGAATGTCGGAAGAGCCAATCTCCTAACAAACAAATCTGTCCAGCTCGCCGCATATGCGGATGACATTAACCTCATGTCCCGCAGAGTGGATGATGCAGCAGAAACATATTCGCAGCTGAAAAAAACGGCCAAGGAGATTGGACTTGAACTAAATACACAGAAGACAAAAATACTAATACAGACGCGGACAAAGCGAACAAGAAATCAATTCAAAGTAGAGGATGACATTGAAACAGTGAAGAGTTTTACTTATCTGGGAGTCGAAATGAATACGGAGGGAACAGAAGAGGCCGAAATTCAGAAGAGAATAATGAAGGGAAATAAAGCCTATTTTTCCCTGATTAACATATTCCGCTCCAAGACGGTACATCGAAAATCGAAACTTAAGGTCTATAAAACTATCATCAGACCGATAGTATGCTATGGATGCGAGACATGGGTTTTGACAGAAAGCACTAAACGAAGATTAAAGGTTTTCGAGAGAAAAATCCTAAGGAAGATCTTTGGACCCATCACTCAAAATGGGATGTGGAGATCTAGATATAACCATGAACTCTACCAACTGTTCAAAGAAGCACCTATTGCAGAGTTCGCTAGAGTACAAAGGCTTCGATGGGCTGGTCATGTGGTACGGATGGATGCCGACAGATTGCCGAGAAAGGCCTTGGATGGTAAAATGCAGGGCAGAAGACCAAACGGAAGACCACGTAATAGATGGGAGAACGAAGTCACAGCAGATGCGCACAACTTATTGAACGTCAGGACTTGGAGACGAGTGGCGCGGGATCGCCTTTGTTGGAGGCAGAAGTTACAGGAGGCCAAGGCTCAATTTGGGCTGTAGCGCCATTGGAAGAAGAAGAAGAATGAGTTCCGTCTGTATTTCTAACTTGTACATTGCCTTCCATAGTTCTGACCATGGTACAGAGTCATACGCCTTCCTGAGGTACACAAATGTAAAATGTATATCTCTTTTTTTGGTTTTTTATTTTCCAACAGTTGTTTCAGTGTGTATATGTGGTTTATGCATGATTTTCCCGCCGTGAAGCCTGCCTGATCCTCCCCAATTTTGTATTTTATTGCTTGCTCCATCTTTTCTCGCAGTATCTTTCCATATAATCTTTCTATTGATGATATTACGCTTATTCCTCTGTAGTTTTCGCATCGTTTTCTATATCCTTTCTTAAATATAGATATCATGTATGCCTCCATCCATTCCTTTGGAAGTTGTTCTCCATTTATGACTTTCTGAAATATCCATAGTATCATCCGGTGTAATTTTTTTGATCCGTTTTTTTAAGCTCAGGTGAGATGCCTCCAGGTCCCGGTGCTTTTTTATTTTTGATTGCTTTTTTGGCTGTTTTCATTTCCCTATCTGTTATTTCTATTTCCTGTTGTGGGGATCTGCTTCGTCTTCGCTCGTTTTCTTTTCCAATGAATTGTGGTCTTTGTTCTGTTAACAGTTCCTTGTAATATTCCTTCCATTCTTTGTCCTGTATATTTCCTAATTTAATTTTTTCATTTAAGTTTTGTGTCAATCCTCTGAGTACTTTTCAGACTCCGAAGTTCTTGTACCTCAAAATGTATTCAACAAGCTAAAATAGCTTATGCCAAAGGGCTAATAATTGCTAACAAAAATATGTCAAAAATCTTATGGATACGTGTAAATAAGTTCTCTGAAAACACAGCTTTAATAACAAACATACAACTAACAAAAACACAACATGATGAAATACTAACAAATAAAACAGACATATCAAATCAATTTGTAGACTACTATACCGATTTAGGAAAACGATGAGGTGGAAGAAATAATAAAATCTTAAAAAAATAGAAAGTCGCCAGGACATAATAATATCAGATTAAAACTCTTAAAGAAATAACAAAACAGATTTCAAAACTATAAACATATGTACATAATAAATATATATTTAATAGCTTCAGAACAATAATAAATATGTCTAGATTTAGTCATTTTTTCGGATATATTAAAAACTGTAACTATTTAACCGCTACTTAAATCTAAATCACCCTAATCTCAAACATAGAAAAAATATTAGAAAAAAAACTTAAGAGAAGACTTACAAATTAAAAAAAAATTCAATATACCATCTGAATGTCAATATGGTTTTTAAGAAGGAAAATCCACTTAAGATGCACTATGAGAAGATCTGTGCTCTAACAGCTAACATTTACAAAGCTCTTGATAATGTAAAACCAGATCTTTGTATATTTGTAGATTTATCAAAGACATTTGACACTGTTTTACATAAATATTGCTAACTGTTGCTAAATAAACTTAAGAAATATGGTATTAGAGGGCTTGCATATAATATCCTACAAGGTTATCTTTTAAACAGGCAATAAATGGTTATTCTCAGGTTATTTTCCATCGATGATGATCACCGGAAAGGAATTGAAGCTTTCTCAAGATTTTATTTTCGGAAGATTGCCTCCCTGCACAGAAGAACGTTTATTCCTGACGTACATAATTTAAAAGAAAAATTGGAAAAAATCTTCGAATTTGCCTGTGAAATTTGAAGCTTCAAAGTGATAAAGCCAAGGCCATGTCAATCCTGCTACTGGTGCAACTTTCAAAAGAGGTGAGCCAGTATAATGATATAATCCCACACGTAAGAAAGGACTTTGTCTGAAACTTCAGCAGAAATGGGAAGGCTCGTACCCTGCAGAAAATAGACGAGACAATCTACCGGATCCAGTTTTCAGTTAGAAGTAAACCCAAGGCAATTAATGTCGAGAGACTAGCTTAATACCATGGAACTAGTTGGCTTCAATCGATATCTGATAGTCCAGTTATTCGTTGGCGATCACTATTGCAAATACTTCGCGATCTTCTGCCACATACAATAATTGTCCTGCATTTGATATCTCGGTACATTCACCAATGTTTTTTAAACAAGAAATCTCTGCTCTTCCTACACCTCTACGGCCTTCTATTTTACCTTTACGGATCAGTTGTAATATCCTATATCGATTTTCCCTCACCATATGTCCCAGATAAGATATTTCTCGATGTTTAACAGTTTTTAGCAATTCTCTGTCTTTGTTGACTCTCCTTACTAATTCCTCATTAATTTTTCTTGCTGTCCAAGGTATCATCAGCAATTGTCTATGAATCCACTTTTCCAATGCTTCAATTTCGTTCACACTTAATACTTTTGGAGTCCACAGTTCTGCTCCGTACAAAAGAACAAACCAAATATAACGCTTAATCATTCTTTGTCTTAGTTCTAATCTGAGATAATTATTGCAAAGAAATACTTTCATTTTCAATAAAAGTAGTTTTAGTAATTGCTATTATTCGTTTTATTTCTGTATCTGGATGTAGTTGGTCCGTTATGACAGTTCCCATATATGTAATTTTGTAAACTTTTTCAACTTGATTGACCAAGCAGAATTTGGAGACCTTCGATATTTTCTGACAGACTAACTGTATCATCCGCATATCTATTTAAATTAAGTAGTTCTCCGTTCATGTTGATTTCATATGGCTAAGTGCCTTTTTAAATAGCTGGACCGAGTAAATACTGAATAATGTAATGCAACCTTGTCTGACTCCTCGTTGTATGGAAATTTCGTCGGTGTCATTGTCTCTAATGTATACGATAGAAGTTTTATTCCAATACAGATTTGACACGAATATCTTTGTCATCCATTCCTATACTTTTTAGAACTGAATTAGTTTTACATGCTGTACTTTATCGAATGTCTTTTCGAAGTCAACGAAGCATGCAAATACATATTTTTTAGACAGTGTAGAATAGTTATATTTTGAGTTTTGAAGTTTATAGTTGTCAGTCTATAAAAGTATTGTAAACAAGTTGGTGTTCAATAAAGCTATTTTCAAGAAGTGCAGTAAAATTACCGGAAATATTATTAAAGTAGTAGTAAACTCGACTCTGTAATCTACGTATCAAAATCAATCAAGTAACCAAGTTCCAGCGTTTTTTTAACTGTTTTGATACGAATAATTTCTTTGTCTGCTCACTGTAACGACGAGTAAAATCTTCCTGGTCTTGATAAATTGTACATATTTATAGGAAATAGAAAATTTTGTCTATTGTATCATTATTTTAGGTGGAATAACATGAATTATCATGGGGATTTGGGAAAATCATAATTGGTTCTATACTCTCTTTTACGAGGTTACCTAAAATGCACCTTTTCTCGCCTTTTTAATTACATGAAGTTAGACATAACAGAAAAAATCATAAAAAAACTAAAGACAATTTAATATAGCAAACATTATGCAATTTTGATTTACCTCATTTATTAGCATATCTCTTTCACCAAAGCAATCTCCGTCATCAAGATGAGCAATTTCTAAGCCAGTTGCGTTGTAAACTGCCAATGTACCATAATAAACAAAGTACATACTGGATGCAGGTTTCCCACCTATCACTATAAAAAAGTAAATATTTAACTGAGTCCAGTAAAGGCAGCAAAATATAATGGAAACTCTATAAGACTTTAATCAGTTCCTGGTGTATGGAATTCTACTAAACACAACAAATACGAAACCGAACTTTTCTATAAGGACTTATGTAAAGATGATATGATCCGACTTATTAAAAAAAACCACTCGTCTCGCATAATAAAAGAATCCTTGATGATTGATGTACAATAAAAATAAAATAATTATACCTACCTATAATATCATCTGGCAAGAATATTTCTGATTTCAATTTGGTAACCAACTTAACAAGGATATTTCTAGGTAAATTCTTCAAAATCTCCGCTTTTTTCAAGTAATTATGTACAATATTTATCATTATCTGTTCCCTTAGAGTCGTCGAAACCAAGTAATTTATATGTCTTTCATTGTAAAAATTGTTTTCGAATTTAAAATTGAAGTACACCATAATTTTTTCCTTAATCTTTAAGGGCAATCCTAAAATTTTTATGATGTATATGTATATATATATATATATATATATATATATATATATATATATATATGTATATTCAAGTTCAAGTTTATTACAATCTAATAAAAAATTAAATTCAAAACATCATAACCGATGAGCCAACCCGGGATGAAGACACAGGAAAAAGGAAGAAAAGAAAAGGAGAGAAGAAGGGCAGAGAGAGGACGATCTTTTCTTCAAAAGAATCGAAGGAAGATAAGTATATTTGGTAACACCGATATTAGCAGAGAAAATAGCTTGTACACAGTCTGTGTACATTGTTTTTACCACAAGAATCTGTTATATATATATATTATATATATATATATATTATATATATATATATATATATATATATATATATATATATATATATCCCAAATTTTGGCATATGCAGATGATGTGGACCTAGTTGCCCGCACAACACGCAAGCTAGAAGAAATGTATACCACCTTCTCAAATGCCTCAAAATCTATTGGCCTGCAAGTAAATGAGTAGAAAACTAAGATGATGGCATCAACACCCAACAATAGAGCCAGGAACATCGGTCCCCAATTCACGGTTGATAACTCTACCTTTGAAAGGGTTGACAAATTCACATACTTAGGCTCCCTGATCACCAAAGAGAACGCCTTAACGGAAGAAATCAAGCGAAGGATAGTAATGGCAAACAGATGCTATTTTTTACTGAGTAGACATATGAGAAGTAGAAACTTAAGCCAAAAAACAAAAATAACTATATACAAAACCCTTATACAGCCAGTGTTGACATATGGATCGGAGACATGGACCATCTCCAAGGCAGACGAAGACCTTTTGCTTATATTTGAACGAAGGATCCTGAGAGGAATATTTGGTGGCATCTGTGAAAATGGTGTTTGGAGGAGGAGATACAACTACGAGGTATACCACAGATATAAACAAATATTTGGTGGTAAAGACGTAGTATCTCTTATAAGAATAGGAAGATTAAGATGGGCAGGACATCTAGCAAGATCACAGCAGAACAACCCTCCTAGAAGAATCCTTATGTCACAACCCGTGGGAAGCAGAAAAAGGGGTAGGCCAAAACTCAGATGGAAGGATGGTGTAGATGAGGATGGTAGAAAGATAGGCGCAGCAAACTGGCAACGGTTGGCAATGGATAGGACTGCCTGGCGTAATAGACTTGGGAAGGTCGAGGCTCTTTCATAGGGCTGTAGCACCATTGATGATGATGATGATGATGATATATATATATATATATATATATTATATATATATATATATATATATATATATATATATATTAATAACTTGTTTTCATCTTTACTACTGACAAGGTCGATAGATCCAAAGATACACTGTTTCGGCACAATTAGAAAAGATATGATTGAAACAGCCCCACTCAAAGAAATAAAAAAAAAAACAAATTCGTAAAATCCCACGTTCCACATGGCGAAGAACATCAGCTCACTCTTTTTCGTTGGAATGCCAATAAGGAAGTTACTATAGCAACTAAGATTTCAACTCCAGAAATATTTACTATAGGAAACTACAATAGATGGTCCAGAAAAGACAGAAAAATTATAGCGGTTCCTCAACCAAACGTTGAGCAAATGTATAACAAGGTGATAGGCGATTTAGACTTATTCGATAAGATAAGAGCTTTATATAGGATTCGAATTCGATCTAAAAAATAGTATTGGGTGCTATTTAGATTTTTCTTGAATGCGACAATAGTAGACAATAATAGACGAACATGAAATTCGAACAACCTGGTGTAATTATATAAGTGAACTGTATAATGATGATAGACCCGAAGAACCGGAGACTTTAGTTGAAGGTGAAGGACCAGAAATACTAAAATCAGAAATACTGCATGCTATAAAGGTAGCAAAGAACAAGAAAGCCGTTGGCCCTAATAACATACCGACAGATATGTTAAAGCTTATAAATGAGGAGAACATTGGAATACTGGTCAAACTTTTCAATGATATTTATTCGACTGGTGATATCCCTGAAGATTGGTTAAAGTCCGAATTCATAACACTACCAAAAAAACAACGTCCGAAAAACTGTAGCGATTATAGAATGATAAGCCTTATGAGCCACACTTTGAAAATATTTCTACGCGTCATCCACAGTAGAATCAGAGAGTAGAAACTTTTCAATGATGTTTATTCGACTGGTGATATCCCTGAAGATTGGTTAAAGTCCGAATTCATAACACTACCAAAAAAACAACGTCCGAAAAACTGTAGCGATTATAGAATGATAAGCCTTATGAGCCACACTTTGAAAATATTTCTACGCGTCATCCACAGTAGAATCAGAGATGCATGTGAAGAAGATCAGGATGAAACACAATTTGGCTTCAGAAATGGACTGGAAACTCGGGACGCCCTTTTTGCACTAAATGTATTACTGCAGAAATGTCGAGATCAAAGGAAATACGTCTTTGCTGTATTTATTGACTATGAAAAGGCCTTTGATCGAGTACAGTATGACAAATTAATTAAAATATTAAAAGATAAAGGAGTTGATAGTCAAGACATACGATTCATAAAAAAGTTATACTGGCGTCAAACAGCGACAGCTTGCATAAACGGAAAATCAACAGAAATATGTAAAATACAAAGAGGTGTCAGACAGGGTTGTATACTATCCCCACTGTTATTTAATTTATCTATCTATCTAATTAGCCTTCTTCGGTCCATCTTTGGACATAGGCCTCCCCAATCCTTTTCCATTCTTCTCTGTCTGTCGCAACAGTCATCCATCTAGAGCCCACGTGCTTCTTGATATCATCTGCCCATCTCATTTGGGGCCTGCCTCTGCTTCGTTTATATTCCCACGGTCTCCAACTTATAAGAATTTTGTTCCATCGGTCTTCTTTTTGTCTTATATTGTGTCCGGCAAATCATCATTTCAATTTTGCAACTTCTTGTCTAACATTACTCACTTTTGTTTTCTCTCTTATCCACTCGTTTCTCTTCTTATCCATTAGTCTTATGATTTAATTTATATTCAGATAAAATATTTAAAGAAGCGCTGCATAATTTGGAATGGGGCGTGAAAGTTAATGGAATTCTGATAAATACAATCAGATATGCAGACGGCACAGTTATTTTAAGTGATGACATGAATGGATTACAATGCCTTTTAAATGCCAATGATACAGTGGGAAGAGAGTTTGGCCTAAACATAAACTGTGCAAAAACAAAACACATGGTGTTTAGCCGTTTAGCACATCAAGATGCACGATTATATGTTGATGGTCATATAATTCAAAGAGCGTCCAGTTTTAAATATCTTGGTTGCCATATTACTGAACAACTAGATCCAGATCAAGAGATAAAATGTAGAATCGAGATAGCCCGCACGACATTTTAAAAAATGGGGTCATTCTTCTGTAATGATAATTTGCAACTTCAACTTCAAAAGCGCATGGTTAAATGCTATATTTGGTCAGTCCTCTTATACGGTGTCGAAGCATGGACATTAAAAATATCCACCATTAATCGTCTGGAGGCCTTTGAAATGTGGCTGCACAGACGTATATTAAAAATTCCATGGACGGCTATGCTGACAAATGTGGCAGTCCTTGAGAGAGCAAACGCTGCTCGTGAGCTGCTTGATAACATTAAATGTAGTAAGATGACCTATTTTGGACACGTAGTAAGGGGAGACCGATATAATATTCTTCAACTTATTATGATGGGTAAAATCGAAGGACGCAGAGGAATTGGAAGAAAGCTGAGCAACTATTTAGAATAGCTCGAGACAGAGACAGTTTCGCCATGTTAATCGCCAACGTCAACGGGACTTGATAGGGCACGTTAAGAAGAAGTGACAATAGTCCAAATGTGTTTTCTTTACCGCAACGTTTGTGGAGGCCCTGCTGACAGCTCCAGATATTCCAACGCTACGCCAAGTGGAGTACGTCCAAAATGCTGATGAAATTTGTTTATATAATGTGCGTAATTTCCCAAAAAGGGAAGTCAAGTCAAAAATCAAAAAAATATATCATACTTCAAAAAAGACAGTTACAAAGAAAAAAAACGTAAAGTTTGCACATTGCTATTAAAAACAACCTTCCTTTATTCCATTCTAAACTTTTGCTTTCATTTTGATAAAAATTTAATTTTGGGCATTAATAGGTTAAAATAAACTGCGAATCGTCGAAATGTGTTCGATTGCCAGCCGGTAGTTACAACAATATTGTTTAGTTTATGTGATTAAACCATATAATACCTATAATAGAAGTTTTTATTATAGCTTACCTCGATAGCTTATATATTCCTTAAATTGTTTCATTAAATCTTCGTTTCTACTTTTTGCACTAAAATACTTATTCCAAACCTGAAAAACTTGGGCGTGCAAGAAAAGATGAATGAAGAAACCACAAAATATGCCAATAGTTACCAAAACCACCAAAATGTGGTTGTACAGTGGCTCGAGACCCTCACTAACTAAGAAAAGTACTAAAGTAGCAGACAAAAAGTCTGTTTTGGAGTTATTGTCTATTTCGTAATCTGTGTAAATATCATTGTAATAGGTTAATATGAATATTCCTGAGTATAGAAACATCACTACGATTACGTATATAAGAAACGCTTTGAGGGCTTTAAAATGATAGCTTGTATAGTTTCTGTAGTTTTTTATAAGTTCAAAAGCATCTAAAAGACGTTTGATTCTTACGATTCTAAACAATCCGAAACATCTCATATAAACGACGTAAGGATTTTTAGTAGTTACAAAAAGTAAGAGGGACAAATTTGGTGACAGTGCTATGAGATCGAAAATAAAATACGTCTTAATATACCTAAGTGCGATTTTCTTATGGCTCAGTATGGTCTTATGCAGCGCATTATCATAGTAACCCTCAAAAAAGCAGTGAATCAGATCTATAGCATAAATCATATCTCCAACCCCTCTACGCATATGAAAAAGATGAATATAATCGTTGGATATAAAAAGAGTACTAAAAAAAGTTACGAAGAACATGTATAGATATACCCAGGCCATTAAACCTTCCCAATACAAATTTATCATGCTAAACGGATGAATAGTTCTTCGGTAGTTTGTTAAATGTCTCGTTTCTTCATGTTTCCTGGCACTGGACGATTTGTAATATTTTTGAGTTGAAGGGTGCTTCGAATTTATGGTCAATCTAAAATATTTGATTATTAATGCTCAATCTAAAAATTTAATAAACAATGGTTAAAGCTAAAGAGAGGAGAAGAGGAGAGTATTAATCAAATAAGTAGTTAACTACAGACCACGAGGAAAAAGAGACGTGGGTAGGCCCAAAAACAGATGTCTAAAAAGAAGACGGAACATACTGTTGGCCTAATCCTTGACTTACAGAAAAAGAAAAAATGAAATGTGACATGTGACTTTTTCTTTTTTGATATAAGCAATTTAGCTTCTTCTTTGGCAGATTGTTGAATCTATGGAAAATTGTTGCTTCTATGGAAAATTGTTACCCCATATTTTGCAAGCTGTTACTTCTACCACTTGGTGATTTTTCCCTTGTTATTTTAACGACTTTGGTGTCCGCTATTATATTGATCCATTACTTTTTTTTCTATTTAGTATTAACTCGTTTATACCCTGTACATGATGAGGTTGATCAACTGCTTAATATTCCCAATACTGACCTACGGATGTGAATCTTGGACTCTGAGACAATCGGAGAGAAGAAAGATAGACGCCACTAAAATGTTTTAGGGCTAGAGAAAGATTAAACTACATGGAAAAGAAAATGCGAAGGCATGGGAGTACCGGTAGGGAACAAATACCTATATACGTTGAGCTTTGCAGACAATCAAGAAGTGATTGCACAAGACCAAGACTGCCTCAGCTACATGATGAAGAAACTGCAAGAAGAATATACCAAGGCTAGCCTAGATATTAACCTCGCGAAAACAGAGTACCTATCTACAAGTGAAGAAGACATAGAAGATCTACAGATTGATGACAACGTAACAATCAAAGGAAAGGATAAATTTAAATACTTGGGGTTTATAATCACAAAAAAAGCAACAACAGAGGAAGAAATTACACAAAGATTAGGACAAACAAGAACAGCCATCCGACAACTTAACTCGGTATGGTGAGATAGACACCTAAATATGAAGACAAAAATATGAAGACCTGCCATCCGCTTATACGTACTTCTACTTATAAGTATTTCCAAATAATAAAATCATCGACAAATAATATTTGTAAAATGTTGGATATTTCCCCTTGTCCTAATATGTTTCATAAGACTTTTTCAAACCAACCTGAATAAATTTCTTCTTTAGCTGGGCATCACAGCACATTTTACAATGTTCCATTTGTAAAATTTTTGGCAATAAATTAAAGTCTAAGGAGAATGGTGTTGCAATTACAGCAAAAAGCACACAATGCTTTTTAAAATTCTAAACTCGCTTTTTAAATTGTAAGTTCAAGTAAGACATTTATTATCATTACCCAGCTCTTTGCGTCCACTGCTGAACATAGATCTCTCTCAATTTTGTTCATTGTGCTCTGTCATGAGCACTTTTTATCCAATTTCTTGAAATTTTCTCGAGATCGTCAGCCCAACGAGTACGGGGCCTTCTTTTCTCTAACCTCATCCTCCACTCAAGTAATCTCTTCGTCCACCTTTCATCACCGATTCGGGCGACGTCTCCAGTTTCATTTCAGTGTGGCAATTTGGGAAATTACATCGTTGGATATTAACGAAGCGTATTTGTTCGTTGCCCTTTGTGTGACGTCCGCCTGTAGCAATAATGTAAGAAAGTGAGTAAAGATATTTGTCCTTAACTGTTGGTTAAGTTTCATTTCAAAGATCATAGATGATATTAATTAGTAGAGTTTTTCCTTTAGACGAGTATTAACCACATCTGGATAGCGAACTATATCGACCAGAAATGCAGTCGCTAACCCACTCCTTGTGTTCAAATTCTGGCATACTTTTTGGCTTGCTTGCAAAAAATGATTTTATTTTTCCCTTCAAACACTCTTCAACATTTTGGCACGGCTTAGCCATCTTACTTCTGCATAAAATGTAACGTCATTATACTGTAAATTCAAAGACTTGAGAAACTCGCATTTTAAGGAATTTTGCACTTAAATTCTGATGAATAATGCAATGAAAATTTAGAATCGAAGTATTACCAACTTTGCAGGCCTCATTTTTAATAAATTTTACTAAACCTTGTCGGGCTCAACAACATCGGAATTTTAAAAACATCGAGCAGATCGGTGGCGCGCTGTTTAAAATCAGCTTCACGTTGTGATTATTAAAACAAATATATAATAGAAGAACTTGTCATGACAGCTGAACCATATGTGCTGAGATACTTTCTTACATGTGGTCAGAACATTACAGAATGAAATGAAATGAAAATTGCCAACGGATTTTTTTAACAGCAAGATATTATACACAAATATATGTCGATACATAATACACGATGTCTACACTCTATCATAGACTACACAATAGAAAAACAAAAGACAAACATGATTTTACGAGATGTACGAGTATATAGAAAAGCCACTTGTGGTAGTGACCATTACTTATTAAAGAACAAGATCATATTTGGAGTAGTGAAACCACAAAAATTAAAAGAAGAATATGAAATGGGAGACATTATCAGAGAAGAGATACAAACTAAAGAGACTATAACACAGCGAGAAAGAATTATATAAAATTTAACTGGACCAAAAGTTGAAAATTAAACAATTTAATAATAACAAAGAACATTACAACCATATATTAACCCCCTCTGTGGCTCAGTGGTAAGAGCGCCTGCCTTTAAACCTAAAGGTCGTGAGTTCGAATCCCACCTGGGTGGAAATTTTCGTTTATTAAAAAAATTAATAAATGAAAATAATTTCTATCCTTGTGTGATCGGTACACACCGGAGGGACCGCAGACGTTCGGATACAATTAGCGTCTCTTAGCAAAGACAATGACGTCGACTTTGCTAAGTATCAAGACAATTACTCTACATACACACACACACTACACCTCAAATTGTAAGATTGGCGAATGGATTTAGTGTCCGCAGTCATTTAAACACAAACAAACAACAACAACAACAACCATATAAAAATGTGCCTAAAGGGAACAGCAACAAAAGCCATTGGATACTAAATTCAGAACCAGAGAAGATACCAGTATTGGTGGGTTGAAGAAATAGTACAAAAAAAAAAATAAAAAAAAAGAGAAATATGAAAATTTTTGAATACAAAACGTCGCTCAAAATCTGATATACAAGGATATATAAGACAAAGTGTAAAGAATGATATGTCGTGAGAAAAAGCTTGGCAATAAAAGTGTATTGTAATATATATATATATATATATATATATATTATATATATATATATATATATATATATATATATATATATATATATACAGTGTGGAAACCAATTATGGAATAAAATTGGTTTGTGTCCTTATTATAGAAAATAATTAAAAACTCTGGGACACATTAACTGTTAAATTTAAATGTACGCTTGTAAAATATAAATTTTTAATGCACAGGGTGATTCACGAAAGTGTGGCATAGTCCATAATCCTAATTTTTAATGAAACACCCTGTATTTTTTTATGTTTCTAAAAGATTCTTAACAACCTGATTTCAACGAACTATATCATGTAGGGTCTATAATGAATAATACAGGGTGAACTTTTGAAATTAATAATTTATCACATATTATGGTATTATTTTAAATTAGCTAAATACAGACAACACAGTTCTACTCTAAGTGTCAGTATATTGGGAAAAATTTCTGTTTACTATCCGTGTTAACATTTTTTGTCATAAATAGGTAAAAACTATCTAGATGGGCGTGCATGATTTGGACGCTAAATTTAAAATTCGACACTAAAAAATAAAATTACCTGTTTCTGCATACATGACTTGGACGCTGGGTGTAATTGAAATGTAAATGGAAAGTTAGGTAATAAAATTCTAGAGATTAAGATTAGATAAGGTTTATTTGTCACTTTGAAATAAATACGACATACATTTTACGAAATGGAATCGATCGATACAGTTAGTTTGATACTCATGTATCCTATTTCTAACGAACATATATTTTTTTCTACTCTTTGGATCTTTAAGTCTATTACTTTTACTATTGCAGACACTATTAATTTTAATGTAAGTTTCAGTTTGAAAATTTTTTAAAACATCAATAAAATGGAAAATATTTGGATGAGCATGGTAAAAATTATCATTAAAACGCGAGCGGAACGATTCACAAGCATTATATAGCCATAAAATCATATATGAAAGATTCTTCGACTTCTGAGGGAGGTAAAAATGGCAGCCCAAAAATATATTTCAGCCATTTAGATATTTAAACTTTGATGGTATACAAGGCAACTATCGAACACAGTAATTAATTAAATCTTGCCCAAGTACTTTCGATCAATAGATCATCTTCAGGGGCAACTGAAATAAGCCAAGAAACGTTTTTTTTATAAAAAAGAAAAATTAATTCACTTGGATAAAAAACTCCAAGTTTATGGTTGAAAAAAGTTTTTATGTGATAAACGTTTATAGACTTACTTCGTCAGTTGTGGCCTATCCGACATGAGCAGAATGTCATACATGTAAATTTGAACATAACAATACAATACACAAAGACAAACAAACACTTTAAAATTTTTAAAAAGGAGAAGCTACACGTTATATAGAAGCCGGAGACAGAATGGGCTCCCGGTCTGGCGGAAATGTTGAGATGACATGTGACAAACTTTCAACCGCTTTCAACAGTTACATTCATCGGTTACTTAAATTTTACCCTAACAGTTTTAAACTGGAAAAGCAAAGAACAAAATGAAAAGGCATTAAATTTAATATTGGATGAACCATGATCATCAACCTAACAGGAAAAATCAAAAAGTGTAGTTAAATTTTAATTTACAATAAAAAACTTTTACTTTTAATTTAAATATTTTTAATAATTATTTATTTTTAAAACCTTTAATTTAAATTACATTAAAGTTAATGGATTAAATAAAACAAAGAATTTTAAACTTACTGATAATAGACCCATCTTCGTAGCTCAATACAAACGCCAGAATTAAAAATGTAGTCGACTACATCCTTTTCGCCGGTTTTGCTATGCAGAATTTGCTCTTGTGTTAAACATGTTTGACTGTGTCTTAGTTTTCCCAAAAACCTTGTTCTATCCATAAAATTATTTTTGAATAGCTAGTTTGTTATTTTTAGTTTATTTCGACAGCTTTTTGACAGTGTCAAAATAAGTTTTTTTTTATTTAATTTCAAATATTGTAATACTATGGTTTGTTTTTTAACCAGAAGGAATAATTCAAATTTACCGCGCCGTAATGCTTGTTTGTAATTGGTCCAACCGCAGAATAAGTTTACTCCACTAAATTATGACATTTATGAAATTTTAAAATTCTAAATTTATATCGACGATATAATATTTTCTGCGTTATTCTTCTAATTTTTGGATTCGTTTGCATTTATATAAAAAACAGTTCTTTTCAGAACTATTGAGCGACTTTTTAGTATTATTAAGATAACAATATGGATTCAATGTCACATACTAATGGTAATTATTCTTCTCCACCTAAAAAGCGCCGAGTAAATTTGGATCATTAATTTAGCATCAAATGTATACAAACATATACAAACAAGTAACAATTGATAATGCTGGAATGAAAATAACAGCCATGGTAGCAAAAATAAAACAGGCAAACAGGTTAGTTTTGAAAAATAAAACCGGAAAAATTATTTACAGAACAATTAAGGAATATATTCAGACTGGAACAAAGATAAATATGTCCTAAAATATTCAGGGCAGTCGACCTTCTATCCTTGCAACATACAATGAAAGAGTTAAAACAAAAAATATATATTGGAAGTGAATTGGAGAAAATTATTATTTGTGCCGTACATTTTCTTCACAGGCAACTGAAGGGCTTCCCCTTCTTCTTTTTTGTGGTATGTAATTTTAAGCTTTATTTGGCCATCTATCTTTATTCATTCGCTTCACGTAACTATACGACACTAGTTGTCTCGTTTCAATTCTGTCTACACTGGAATATGCAGTATTTGTCCTACTACTAATATCTTCATTCCTGATATGATCTTTTTTGGATACATCACACAGTCTCCTTAGAAAGTCCATTTCTACTACTTCTATTTCTTTTCTACCTTTTTTCGTGATCTGCCAAACTTCTGCCCAATTAGTCATAATAGGTCTACTAAGGTTCGATAGATTGTCAATTTCGTTTCTTGCCTAATATCTTTAGACCATAGTAGAGGTTAGAATGTTTACCGCTTTTTTTCCCTGCTGCGTTCTGTTTTCGATGGCTCTTTTGGTAGTACCTTCCTTGGATATTATAGAACCCCGATATTTATATTCATTGCATGTTTTTGTGTTTCTAATTTCTAACTCTGGATATTCTCCATCATCTCCTATTTCAAGATACTCTGTCTTTGACATATTCATATTGAGGCCCCATTTTTCATATTCTCTCTTTAGTTTTTTAAACATGTAGTCCATGTCTTTCTCATCATTCGCTACGACTACCAGATCATCTGCAAAAAGTTGTTAGACATTTACCACCGCCTAGGTCTATTCCCATTCCGGATACTTGTTTCCTCCACTGCTATAGCCATGATTGAATATATATTTTAAATAAAGTCGGAGATAGACAACATCCTTGTTTAAGCCCCTTTGTTCTTGAAAATGATTCAGATATAAAGTTTCCTTCTTAAACGACACTTCTTGCATTTTTGTATATATTTTCGACAACATTCACATACTCTCTACTGAGACCTACTTTCGTCAATGTTTGAAACAGCTTTTTTAAAGGTACCATATCGTATGACTTCTTTAAATCTACAAACAATAGGTGGGTAGATAGATTCCTTGCCTTTCGTTTTTCGATTACATGCTGTAGAACGAATATACCATCAGTGCATAATCTTCCTGCACGAAATCCATTTTATTCTTCTATGTCTTCGTATTCTGATTCTATTTTTTCTGTTATTATTTGACCGAAAATGATTATTCAAAACATAAACAAAGTTAGGATATAATCGACGTGTTAGGTGGTCCGATACTGATTACTGGAGCTACCTACCAACCAAAAAGAAGATGTATTTGGTGACTTTTGTAGTAACTTTCTTGGGTGTGTTGTCTTTTTAGTTTAATACTCCTGGTTAAATAATAAACCATAGTGATTTTGCTCGTTACCATGCGACGGGGAATCCAATCAATTGCCATCTAGTCCTCATTCAATTTCTTCTAACTTCCTTCTATTTAAGATTATTTAAGAAAACAAAATGATATTATAGTCTGTTGTAAACTTTCATAACAGATAAGTCACTTTTAAACAATCGCTGCTCTTTCGGGTAAAGTCGACTTATAAAGTCGATCTACGTACAAAAACCAGCGTAATTCTAGTTTGGCTATTCATTTGTTGGGGCAGCTCGAGTCTTGTATTACATTTTTCGTCAATCAATAAATTCGCAGCCAATATTTTAGGATACAACAAACTTTCAAAAGACTTGAACATTTAATTTTTAAAATAATTAACTTCTTCCATAAAAGAGCTAGTCTTTTCATCTCCAGATAAATATTGTTCTCTTTAACAGATAGTTATCTGGAGGATGGACATTTATTCATAGAATTAAATGTAATCGTCTTTTCGCGTCACATTATGTTGTGGTTACTTATCTGTAAGATAAACATAAAATTTATTTCGGAACACACCAATATTTAATTGATTGTCAAATAAATCACACTAATGTTTTAATATCTCTTTTGATTATACAATTTGTGGTGGCAGGAATAAATTGAATTATGCAAAGAAAAATTTAATAACTCATAAAAAAATAATACATGTAAATTAGTGATTCTTCTGAGGTTTCTACATAACACTAAAATATTATATAGGGTTAACCCAAAGATCTTCAACTTCAAAAAGTTTAAGAATATCGTCATTTAGCAATTCATCTTCAAAATTGTCTTCAATTTGATCTATCGCTAGGTTATAGAATGTTGCTGTAGATTAGAATGGTTGAATTTTTTCAACTTTACAGCCACTTCAGTTGGATAAAATAGTACCTAAACCTTCTCTTCCATACATAAAAAGTTCTGTTACATATCTAGTTTAAATATGGAATTGAATATAGAAATGTTCTTTATGGATTGTGTTGTGGACTCCTTAAAGGTTTCATTGGATAATTAGAATCTTCAAGAACAACCCATTTCTACTATCTCCATTTATTTTCAATTATCATCATCATCATCATATAACGGGGTTCCTACGGCGATTGCCGCTTCCCGCATTTCAGCCTCCACCTTTTCCTATCTCTCCAATCTCCCTCTTCTAAGCCTGTAGATTGCATTGTTTTTGTAATTTCTCTTCTCCAAGAATTTGGTGGTCTTCCCCTTTTCCTTCTTTCTGGCGGAACATACATTAAGGCCTTCTTTGGCCACCGCTCCTCCTCCATTCTCAACACGTGGCCATACCATTGTAATTGCCTTCCTTGTATTCTATCTAAAAGAGTATCTCTAATTCCTGTACGTGTTCGTATTTCCTCGTTCCTGATTTTTTCCCTTCTCGATACTCGACATGACCTTCTAAGATAATCCATTTCCACAACGTCTACTTTATCTCGTTCATTCTTTGTCATCGTCCAACATTCGGCACCATATGTGATAATCGGTTCTACAATTGCTCTGTGTACACAAAGTTTGGTATGCATCTTTATTTTATTAGACCACAGTAATGAATTCAGTATTCGGATGCATTTTTTCCCTTCGGTTAATCGGTTTTGTACATCTATCTTAACTCTGCCATCTCCTGATACGATGCTTCCTAGATATTTATACTGGTTGCAACCTTTTATGACTGCGTTTTCAAGCCTCAGATCTGTGGTATTTCCTCCAATTTTTAAATATTCTGTTTTGCTTATGTTTGCAGTAAGCCCCCATTTGGCATATTCCTTAAATAATTTTTGATTTATATAATTTATATCTTCCTCATCGGTTCACCACCACCTGATCATCTGCAAACAACAATGTATACAGAGTTTCTTGTCCCACTTCGATGGCCACAAATCCACATTTATTTCTCCAATTCCTCAATGCTTCTTGGACGTATATCTTAAAGAGTGTCGGTGACAAACAGCATCCTTGCTTTAGGCCTTTAGTGACTTTAAATTCATTTACAGTTCTGGTTTCAATTTTTACACAACGAACTGCATTTTCGTACAATTTATATATCGCTCGGATATACGTTGAATCCAATCCGGACCTTTCGAGGACCTCAAACATTTTCTTTAACGGGACACTATCATATGCTTTCTCAAGGTCTATAAATACCAAATGGGTGTCTCTACTTCTTTCGACACGCTTTTCAATTATTTGTCGTAGGATAAATATATTATCAAGGCAGGATCTCCCGGTACGAAAGCCGCTTTGTTCTTTTGAAATTTTCAATTATCAAGATTATGAAAACATTAAATAGCTAAAATAAGTGAAGAAATGAGGTAGAATATCTACTTTTATAATCTTTTACTAACATTTACAATATATTCTCAGAATATAGATCAGTGTCGGTTTATTTAATCTAAACCTCTTAAAAAAGTCTCTATCAAAAAGTCTCTACAAAAATTAAAACGGTCGATTCTGCCTCAACTATTACATTCTTGCACTAATTTATCTTCTTATTCGGCAATTTATTTGGTAAATAAATAATTTTATATTTTATCTATCAGATAAATTTACTTATGTCTGTTTATAGTTTAGATTTTTTTATATTATTTACAAACTTTATTATACAGTGGAGCAAATAATTTAAAAATCAAGAGAATATAACAAGGAATGTGACAAAATGATGAAAGAGCTAGAGCATCTTGGAGTCCCAGAAAAATTAAGATATATGCTAACAGAAAGTCTATAGAATACCTCAGAAAAGACAAGTTTCAATGGAACAACTTCTAAGATCAAAGTAAACAAAGGCGTGAAACAAGGTGACTCTATCTCCCCGACGCTGTCAAACCTGATATTAGAACAAAAATAAGGAGGATAAACTTCGTAAACAAAAACATTATTACAGGTCAACTTTGAGTAATAGATTGATTTTAGATAGTAATAGATATAATTCTAATTTCCATTCTCCTTAAGTCTTCTTTCACTTAATATCTGCATCTCAGTTTAGGTCTGCCTCTGGTTAGTT